TAATTTGTGAAACATACAGGTCTTTAGTTTCAGTTCAACCACACACTGAGTCATTTACTCTGTTTGGGTGTCAGCCAAACATAGAATTTAACCACAAGGTGAAAACATTCACAGATCTGAGGTCAAAGGAACATTTTTATTATAGTACTTAATGATGATGTTTCAGCTAGAAGTCAGATAAAATCTCTAGATGTTTTTATGCAGCATGAAAGAAGAATTTCAACATAATTCCTCCGATAAAGAATCAAAATATAAAAAAATCATTAAAAAGACTTAGATATAAAAATACAGGCTGCGAAACAGAAAAGGGGTTTTGGTACATTCACTCGCAGTGACTTCCAGTGTGCAGGAAGAGTAACATTGCAGCATGATAATGATCCAGGGGACGCTGCAAAAACATGTCAGAGTAAAAAAAAAGACCTGGTAAGATATGACTTAAAGAAATGGAAAACGTCACAAAACTGCTGCGGTCAAAGCTACAGGAGCTGTTTGAGCTTTGTGTCCAAAAGGGAAGGAAGCACAGAGAGACCAATCAGAAGAAGAACCTGTAGAAAAACTCTGTCACACCCAAACAAAACACAACTTCTCTTTTTTTTTCTGCAAAGTAAAACTGTTTGTGATTATCTGAGGATCAGAGTGCAGCAGGCTGGATGTGACGATGGGGCACTCTTTGCTCTGCATGATGGGCTTTTTCTGTAAGTACACGTCTGACATTGTTTGAAAGGCACCATTAATTAAAATGTTTCTGATCTCTGAGAATTAGTGAGTCACTGCTTAGAGCTTGTTTAGCAAACATGAGAAATTTGGTGATTATTGTTCATCCCTAAATTTACAATAATCAATAATCAGAGTAAAGTCTTTAAAAAAACTTTACTCTGAGGTATAATATCTGATGAGTTTTTATTCATTATTTTAGTGCTCAGTACAGTCATCTGTGGAAACGCTGAAGGTAAGAAACACTGTTTTTACTCCAGTTCATATATGTAGCTGTTATCTCCTACAATGCTCGAAATCAGG